CAGGAATTTTGTGTATTGCCTTATTTGCAACTGATGTGGGTCATAGTGTAATTTTTAAAAAGCAAACTCAAGGTGCCAAACTTTTGTGGGATCCTTAGGTAGATGACTATGCACGGAGAAAAGTATGCAATACCTCACTTTATGAAAACCTATTCTCTCCCTCCGTCTCACATCCAAACTGGGGAAGATAGGATCAGAGCGGAGAAAGTTGCTGGTCCCATTTCCTGTACTTCGCTGTGAACTGGAATGCGTGTCTACGTCTTGACGTTATTAAAACCGCTGCCTTCAACCTCTGCAGAAGTGGTAGTGGTTCGACCTCTCCACATTAACTGCATTAGCTCTTCTTCCTTGTGTCACCTGATGCTGGTCAGGGATAACCGTTTATAAACCACAGGTAGTGGGTTCAACCTCTCCACATTACAGATCTGCCTTCTGAACTCGCTAGATTGGGTAGCTTGCCTTTCCAGGGGCCTAATTAATAACCTGTATCCTGCAGAATAGCATGTGTGTAACAAACTCCAAAATGAAAATATAAAAAAATATATATTTTTCCTGGACACTTTGCAGTCCTTAAGATTGAAAAGATGAAGGTGCATGGGCAGGATTCCTGAGCCCAGTTTGAGAGGTCCTCAGGGCATGGGTGTTGTGTTGCTTATTTCCAGTTTTGAAGATGGCTATAAACTACCAAATGGGTGCAGGCAATGACTAGTCAGAAGAGAGGGTTTTATGTCTTTTTATGAATTAAAATAATAAGCAGCCTTCAAACATATATCGATGCAGCTGTGCTGGCACTGTTTAGCTCTTGTTTGCTGCGAGTGCAGAACTTCTTGACATTCATGGTACAGGACAAACTTTCAGCCATTAAATCCTGGTCTCCAGAATATTTTGCTGATGCATCAAAATTAATCTCAGCTGAGCAGTGGGGGGGTCGGGGACAACTGATTCCCTTGTAGAAATGGTCTTTAAATAAAAGTCAGACAATGTGGCATCAGAAGCCTTCTAGATAGTTAGAAATGGTTGCTGAAGATAGAGACTCAACTGTAGACTTTGGTGTTTAATGCAGATTTCCCTGGAAGGCTGTTTTCTTTTCAGATGCAAAAGCAAGTCTTGTCCTGCCTTTGTGTCTTGTGATGTTAATGTTGGTTTTATTAATAAGGGTGTTCTTTCAGCAAAAAAATGTGCCCTGGAGCACAAGGAAGTGTTAAGCAACAGGAATACACTTGGTGTAGCAGCAGAATCAGTAATGTGATATATAGGCTTGCTTTTGTGAAAGTACTCCAGGCCTGATCCTCACATTGTTGGCATTTTAGCATTATGCAGTTTCCCTTTGTATTGTTGGCAAGGCATAAGACCTTCCAATCTGTCTGTCTCTGAGGATTAGATTTGGGGATGGGGAGGATTAGCTCCAGCAGTTTGTTTCTTCATTGCATTTGGAAAACTAAACAAAGTTCGTGTTTTTGAGGAGCTTTACAATTCATTTTTACTTAGTGCCTTTTATCGGGGCCTTATTATCTGTGCAGCTCTGAACTGTTTCTATGTTACAGGCTGTGAAAAGAAGAGAGAAAATGAACCTTTTGGGGCAAGGACTGTAAGGAGCGTGGCTGAACAAAAGCAAAGCAACACCCGTGTGCACTATTTTGTGAAATAGTAGCAGTGGGACAGTAGCTCTCTGTACTTTTGATGCATGGTTTCAAAGAGAGGATTCGTTTACTAACCATAAGGAAGCAAGATTTGAGCTGTTGAATCGCATCACATGATGCCTTTACAATGAAAAATGCAGCTCGGTGAATATATGTTCAGAGAGGTGCACAGGTTTGTGAGCATAAAATTCACTGGGCAGCTCATGAGAGTAAGAGCTTAAAGAGTCCTGCCTATATCCGATATGTGAAGAAGTGGTTATTTCTGTCCGGGTTAACATGCTTCAGGCTCGTGCACTTGCCCCACTGCAAACCAGGACTCAGTCTCTTAATTCCAGCTCAAACTTACAGTGACAAAGAGCTGCTGCCGTATTTAGGAAGGGGAGTGGTAGGGCTGCAGTATCGCTGTTAGGTGCTGGAATAATTAAGAGAGATGAGCTGGTCTCCTCGTTCACTGCGGTGGCTGAAGTTATTCATAGCACTGTGGTACTTAAATGGGAAGTGCAGTGACTGCTGATCCCAAAGGAGAGCCTTTTTCCCTTGGTGCCCGCACCATAATTGATGGTTCCTTCAAAGTAGCTGTGTCCATTTGAGCAGTCGGTGTTAGAGGAGCAGACCATGCTTGGGATGAAGTGCAGGCTTTTCATGGTTATTTCAGGCCCGTAATGCAAATATTGGTCTTATCCCATTGATCATGAATTCATAGTCCAGCGGTAGACCAGATTTAACTCGATTCTCTACTAACTTCTCTAGCTTCTTCTGCAACCAGGTGGCATCTCCTTGCTGGTATCTAGATTCACTTATCTTATCGTCTAGGAAACTTTCCTGCTCATTCCACCCACATTCAGTGAAAAAGCTTTGAAACATCCCAGCCCCCCTTGCTTACAGCCTAGGGTACCCTAATATCCCTGATCACAATTCATAGATATGGAAAGAGGTGTGTGGCAAGGGGCTAGAAACGGCCCCAAGAAACTCAGAAATAAACACAGGTGTGAAATGTCTGGTTTTTGTGATAAAAGATTCATACCTCTGAAATCAGCTGTTTATTGGTTTACAGTGGGCTATCTGTGGTGGTCGCAGCATGTTTGGGTTTAATGGGAGTGTACATTTCTCTTACAGTTTTGGAGGTAGCCTAAATTATGTGCTGTCTTCTGGAACGGGGGGCTCTGCAGGGCCTACCTGCTGAA